TTCTCTTTCTTTCTTCCTTTCCTTCCTTTCCTTCCTTCCTTTCTTCCCCTCTCTCTTTCTTTTTTCCTTTCTTCCTCTTTCTTTCTTTCTTTCTTTCTTTCTTTCCTTCCTTCCTTCTTTCCTTCCTTTCTTCCTCTTTCTTTCTTTCTTTCTTTCTTTCTTTCTTTCTTTCTTTCTTTCTTGTCTCGTTAGAGGGACTTCGCAGAGCTTAGACGGGGCCAAGTAAAACTAAACTCAAAGCCATCTCTTCTTTCCCATCATTTTATTATTATCATTATTAGTTTTCTTTAAAAATCCTCAAAAAAAAAAAACCCTTTTCAGATCACGCCAAACTCCCCAGGGAGAAGGGAGAACAGAAAGGAGGAAACTTATTTTTCAGCGAGCCCCTCCTTACCCTCCCCGCTTTTCCTAGGGCTGAACCCCCTACAATTCCCCCCCCCTCCTGGGCTCCTTTCTTGTGGGGGAAGGGTGGAAGAGTCCTGCCTGCCTATTCAGAAAGAGCCCCCTGCCCCCTTTTATCCAGGAAGGACAAGGAGGAGAAAAACTTCCCCCAAATCTGCAATTTCACTTGCCGAGTTCCTTCAATCCGACCTATTATTTCTCCTTTGATTTGTCCCAGTTTGAACCTGTCTACAGAACACATTAAAGTGGGGTGGGGGGAAAAATAATCTAGGCTGAGAGCTGCTTCTCTACAACTCTCCTTTAACTCTCCTCTTTAGCATGTGGTGGCACCCCAATTAATTCGGATTTGCCCCATAGCTCCAGCCCTCTCTTGGACAAGAGATTCTGGAGGCTGCCTAGAAGTCGTGGTAGCCCGTATAAAGCCACATCTCACAGTTTGGGGGCAGGAGGGCGGGGAAGATTCATCACAAACTAGAAAGAAATAGAAGAATAACAGAATAACGCAGTTGGAAGGGGCCTTAGAGGTCCTCTAGTCCACCCCCCCCCCCTTCCTCGAGCGGGAAACTCCACCCCATTCCGGATAAACGGCTGCCAGGTCTCCGTCCTGAAAAAAACCTCTGGTGTTGGAGCAGCCACAACTTCTGAAGGCAAGCCGATTCTGAGCCGGAAATCTTTTTATTGGGAGCTTCTCGGCCTTTGGTTACCAGGAAATCTTCTCCTGGTCGATGGGGGGAAGAAGGGAGGCCTCGGTGGTGGTGGTGGTGGTGGTGGTGGTGGCGATTCCATGGGAGTAATCCTTGAGAGAGATTCTGGATTCGGGGGAGGTCGTTCGTCCTCGATTGCTCCAGATGCTGCTACCTTAGGGTGAGCCTGGAAGAGTTAGGGGTGGTTTCCTTGGCCCCTATGAAGGCTCAGGTGATTGACAGCAACATCGAGACAGTTCAGTGCTTGAGAGCAAAACCTTCTCTCTCTCTCTCTCTCTCTTTCTCTCTCTTTCTCTCTCTCTCTCTTTCTCTCTCTCTCTTTCTCTCTCTCTCTCTCTCTCTCTCTTTCTCTCTCTCTCTCTCTCTCTCTCTCTCTCTCTCTCTCTCTCTCTCCACGCGTTTCTGGCCCCAACTGGAAGACTGTGACCCCCACCCCCCACCTCCTAGACAATGTTGTCAGGATCACTCTACTTCCAGGCAGCTAGGAATGAATGTCCAATCTTGGAACGTACGTAGACTAACCTCTCCTGTGGCCCATCGAAGCTAGAGAGCCACGGATTCCGCAACTCTCCAGCAAACCCAGGGAGAAGGTGGTGGGTGGTGGAGGGGGGGGCACCGTTGGGGTGGGATGGGGGGGCCATAAAGAGTCTTTAAAGAAAGAAGCCTTTTTCCCCCACGGGAAAGACTTGGGGTCTGACCCTCGCAGCATCTTCATGGGGTGGCGGGGGGGGGGGAAGGTGGAAGAGGCTATTTAGGAAAAGCCTTACATCCAGGTGCACTAGCCCTGATGATGTTGCCTAGTTGGGTCATGAAATGTCTGCAAGAACACCAGGTTCAGAGAGCACCAAGGACGCCCCAGTCTTCCTTCTCCCCCCACAGACAGTACCGTAAGCCACTCAACTCAGAGAGGATTCAAGACCCTACCCTCCTCCTCCTCTCCTCCTCCTCCTCCTCTTTCTCTAAGCCCTACTCCCTTCTAGCACTGATGATGTTACCTAGTTGGACCATGAAATGTTTGCAAGAAAACCACTAAGCTCAGAGAGCACCAAGGTCCCCAGAGTTCTTGTTTTCTTCCTCCTCCTCCTCCTCCTCCTCCTCCTCCTCCTCCTCCTCC